CTATGTTCATAAAATTATAACTTGAGATCCAAGCACTTTTGGAAGAAGTTGTATGAATAAAATTTGTATATTTCATGGAGATCTACAACTTTCATGTTGGAAGTTTCTCTTGAATCATCTTGCATCATGGTGAAAAATTTTCTCTAAGTTATGAAAAAATAAGAAATTTCCAACACTTAGAAAAATTTCTAAGTTTAGAAATTTTGACTTTTCAAAATGAAATATTGACTTTTTGATTTCTTGATGAATAAGTTACATATTTTGACATTTTTTGATGAATTATTATCTTTGACACTTGAATTTAACCAAAAAGTCAAAGTTTGACTTTTTAGTATACAGTTGACTTTTGATCAGTTGACTGGAAAATTCATCTGTCAATCCAATGGACTTGCAATGTTTTGAACCATGTTATTAGGTCAAAATGATGCAATTGGACTCTTGAGATTATGCCTTAAACCAATTGACCATTTTCTAGGTCAAAAATCAAAAATTGCCCTTTCCCAGTCAAAACCCTAATTTTGACCATTTTGCCCTTTTGGAGATTTGATCAAATTTCATGAGGAGTTGTGGTCCCAACTTGATCAAATGATACATATGAGTCTAAAATGTTGACGTGGATCAAAAATTATGAAGGTTGACTGTAAATTAGTCATGATTGACTTTTTACCCAATACAACTGATTTTTAGGTCAATTGCTCAATTGACTGATCAAAAATGTGATTCAAGGCTTGAAACTTGACATGAGTAATCTTGGGGATCCATAGTGATCCATGAAAGTCATATGGGACATTGAAAGTTCAAAAATCCTTGTGCAAACTCAAACCCTAATTTTGGTCATCAGTGCTCAAGGAGGTGTCTTGAGCTGATCAAACCCTAGTGCAGTATTGAGTCTAAGGAGATCTTGTGAGCAAATTCTTGATAAGTGAGAGGGCAAATTTTGAGGTACAACAATATTGTCAAAATTAAAATATTTACCACTGGTATTATTAAATTCTATAACAGTTTTGTATTTAATTATTTTTACAAAATAATTCAAAAAATATTTTTCCATCTTTCAAATTAATTTTATATCAAACTAAAATGAATGTGTTGTCCAACTAATGTGTTTTTCAAAATCTAAAATAAATTTACTATTATAATTATTAGATATGATGTATATAATTGAGAAGTTATAAGTGGACTATTTTATGTTTTCCTTTAGACAAATCCTTATAGTTAGAAATAGTCTTTACTTTTCTCTCTTAGATTTTTGGTTAATTAGTAACGTTTATAGTTTACAACTTAAAACATTTATTGAAACTTTTTTCATATATTTAATTTATTAATAATACTGATAGTGTCAAAATTAAGTAATTTATTATTGGTATTATTAATATTTATAATAATTTTATAATTAATTACTTTTTTATAAAACAATTAAAAAATTATTTTTTTATATTTTAATTAATTTTATCACATACTAAAATGAATTAGTTGTGTTTGACTAATGGTTTTTTTTAAATATAAAATAAATTTGTTGATATAATTATTAGGAATAATGCAAATAATTGAGGAGATATAAGTAGAGTATTTTATGTTTTTCATTAAATAAACTTTTATAATTATAAATAGCTTATATTTTTCCCTCTTAAATATTCGGTTAATTAGTAATATTTATACTTTATAGTGCATAGGTTAAAATATTTATTATTATCATTATTAATTTTTGTAAGAAATTTAAATATTTTTTTATCATAATTTCCGTTAACTATAATATATTTTATTTGATTTTTGAATGGTATCATCGATTTATATTTATGCTAGTCTTTTGATTTAACAATTTATTATTATTATTATTATTATTATTATTATTATTATTATTATTATTATTATTATTATTATTATTATTATTATTAAATTTTGTAAGAAATTTAAATATTTTTTATCATAATTTTTGTTAATTATCATATATTTTATTTGATTTTTGAATGGTGTCATCGATTTATATTTGTGCTAGTTTTTTGATTTAACAAATTATTATTATTATTATTATTATTATTATTATTATTATTATTATTATTATTATTATTATTATTATTTTAAGATATTATAAAAAAAAGATATGCATTAGAGTATAGACAAATATGAGAATCTTGAATGATATAATTGAAATATAATAAAAAAATTATATAAATTAAATTAAAGATTTAAGAGGAAATAGTTGTATTTAATTATGATTAATTCTTATGAGAATAGATATTATAAAGTTGTTGTAACATTTTTTTGGAATGGAAATTTAAGTAATGAAGAATAATCGTGTGTCTTTGTTGTTAGATTAAAATAATTTTTATAGTGTTATTTAATTGTGTAAAAAAATTTATAAAGAAATTTTTCATAAAAATTTCAATTGAAAATTTAATTAGAAAAATTGTTCTTAAAATGTTATTTTAGATATTTCATCTTCTTAATGAAACTTTTTTTGAATATCAAAATTTTAAAAAATCACTTAATTTTAAAGCTATTTGAAATAGATTTTCATAAAATCATTTTTAAAATACAATTTTTTTAAAAAATTACGATTTTGATTATGTATTAATTTTCAATAATGTATTTTTATGTTATAGGATATTAAAATTAGTATTTTAATTTAGAAAAAACGAATATAAAAAAACTTCTATATTTTAAATAACAGATTTGGAAAATCTATTTTCAAAATATAAAAAATATATATATTTTTTAAAAGTTGAAACAAACAAACCCTAAATTTTAAGAGTAACACATGAAGTTTTAATTGACATAGCAATAGCAATATATAATTATATGGCATATGATATACCGTAAGATAATTTATCATTTTAGATTTTATATATTACAAGATATTTTGACGCAATTGATTTAATTGATATAAATAGATAAAAGAATTCTCATTTTGCAATTAGCTGAGTTTGATCCCGTCATTTAGAAAAGTTTAGAGCACAATATTCTCTTATTATATAACGAACGTGTAAAATTCAATAGAGCGATATAGCTGAACTTGCAATCCTACCAAGTAAAAGGCTCCGATGCGGGTACAACCCCCTAGCAATTTAATAGACGAGCTTTTCTCTTTTTCTTTTATTTCTTCCTCTTCTTCATAATAAAAACACAATCAATTCAAAATAGCAGTGAAATTTATTATCTGTTTCTCATTTATTTCTATATTAATTTAATTTTATTAATATTATAACTGACAACAAAATAATTATTTAAAAAATAAATAAGAAATGAAATGAAAATGAGACATGTTTCTAAAAGAAAATAAAATTCAAATCATTATTGATACCAAATAAGTGGAACTGGCCTACCAAAAAACTTAATTAATCTTAATAAGAATGAAGCAGAACTGTGGGCTGCTGTTAAGGGTGAAATATGTTAGATTGAACTAGATTTTGTCACATTTGATTTATTAAAAATTTAAAAGTTTAAGTCTGACATATAATTTATTATAAGTTTATTTTTAAATTTGAATATAGCCTTTTCGAAGACATGATTAAGTCTATTAATCTATATAAAATTCTATTTTATTTAAGTATTTGTAAATAATTAATTCAATTAATATTTAAATAAATTAACAAATTAAAAGATTAAAGAAATTAGATGCTTATTTGAATAGATTTATTTAACATTATTTATTAACATAAATTTTTTGATACTATTTATTTAAAATAATTTATGAAAATAATTTATGACATTGTTCATAAGATTTTTTCAATTTATTTTTATAAATTTTTTAAAATAGCTAAATATTATTTTTATATTTTAATTTAAAATATAAATATAATATAATAATAATAAATTTATTCATGTTTAGTTATATAGGTCGGTATAATAGATTTAAAATGTTTTTTTTAAGATTTATAACCTAACTTTTTTAACTAAATAAAATTATAAAATAATATAAATCTTTTTTATTTAAAAAAATCTAATCTAATCTAAATTTGTATAGGCCGGACATAATATTGTTAATTGACCTGACTGAACCACCACATAAGGTAATGCTTATGCCTCATAAGGACATCACACTATTATTGTATTTTGATTACGCCTATTCTAGAGATTCTTAGATTATACTATACTTATATAAAATTGTCAAAACCTTTAAAATTAATATAGCCAGAAGTGTCACCTCTAATAAAGAGCTTTTAATCATAGGATTAAATTCATAGTAATGAAAAAAATTATTTCATTCATGACCTATCTAATCGTCTGATCAAAATCGAACGATTTCAATTTAAAATTGATAATTTTGAGAAAATTTTGTGAATCATGCAATCGTGATCAAACGGGTAATAAGATTTTAAGAACGTGAATGCGGCAAAAGCAAGACTGCATGGATTCAATTTCCTTTTAATCGTATTGTTAATCAGTCTAAGCAATGAGAAAAACCAAAGCTGTGCAATCAAGTTTTCCATTAAGCCTCCTAAAAGAGACTCCAACTAATACATGTGTAGAATAAGAGAGATCCAAACTAACAAAAACAAAAGAAACTATGTATATACAAATGGACCAAATTTCAAAAGCAAATAAATCAAAACACAAGCAAAGGGACCTCCATGAAAACAACATCTACCTGTCATTTTGTGCCCTCAAAACATGTGCAAATCCTGCATTATGCCATTCTTGTCCATCACCTTCATACACCTCCTCTTTACCTTCTTGATGCAACCCTTCACCTTTTCATACATATACCTATTTTTCTAATCACATGGTAAAACCCAACTAGTTCATACATAAAAACTACATCCCTTTAAACCAGCTCACCATGTGTAGAAACATGAGATACAGAAGCATAGATTCGAACTCGCCACATTTCATTTGTTTATCTTTAAAAGATGAATTCTAACCACTATACTATTTGATAAAAAAAATACACACATGAATAAGTAAAATAATATAGTTGAATTAAATATGTCATTAATCCTCATGAAATAACAATGATAAAACTTAAGGATTCAAAACATATTCAATCCTTAAAAACAATGCTACTTTTTCTTGCTCTTGTCTCTATTGTTGGAGAAGATTGAACCCAAACCAAATAAATTTGCAGAAGGAACATTAAGAACAGGATTAACTCTAACACTACCATGAGATCCATGACTCTTATTCAATGGAGGTTTTAGATAACTGTTAGACCCAGATGAATTTGAAAGCCTTGTTGAAGAAGAATGTTTCTGAGAATTTTGTTTAATACTAATACCATCCTTTGACATTGAATTCCTCTTGTTGACACTTGAGGTAGATCCAGTTGAATTGCTTCTAGATAGAAGTGGCAATGGACACAAGCTTCTTCCATAGCCACTTCCACAGCTACTACTTCTCTTGAAGCTCCAAAATGACTTTGAACTTGAACTTTGTTTCTCACACACTTCATCATTCAAATACTTGCTTTCTTTTCTCATGATTTTACCATTGGAATCATTGTTGCAGCTAGAATATGAAGGGTTCAATGGAGGGTTTGGTGGTGATGATTGAGTTGTTAATGGTTGCTTCAAAGGTGGTTTTTTTTTCTTGATTTCAGCTGGAAGAATTCTCCCATCTGAGAAAAGCTCTTCAGCTGAAGATGATTCAAGGTTGAGGCTTTGATTGACACAGAAATCAAAATCAATACTTGAATTCAACCCAGATGAATTTGATCTAAAAGGGTGTTGCTCAACAGGTATGGCATCTGTTTGTGAAAAGTCCTGTGAGAATGAAATTCTTGGACTCACTGAAGAAACACCACAGTTTTCTGAGTAAAGTTCAATTGCCATGTTTCATTCAAGGTTAGAATAATCTTATCTTAGAAATAAAAATGGCAAAAACTCTTGGGTGAGATAAAAAAGGACAGAACATAAGAGGTTTTAAATGGGGCCAAAAGAAAGTTAGTAGACAAGTCCATTTGAAAGGTTCAAACCTAACTATAAAAAGCAATAAAAGAAGTATAAATCAATGTCCATCCCTATATAAAAAGAAAGGAATTTCATAAATAAAATAATAATTATTAAAAAAGTTATAATAATAACAATACTAATAAGCAAGGTTGTGATGTGGTCCAAAAAGTGGAGAAATGGGTGTGAGAAAAGGATATGCCTTTGATGGGTGAGACTTTTGGAAAATGAAAAAGGTGTATTTGTTGATAGAGAGATATAAAGAGACGTGGAGAGAGTATTTGAAAGATAGGTTGATAGATTATGCTGGCTTTGGGTAGAGGTGGTTAACCACTTTTTAAGAGATAATATGATATAAAACTAACTAACATCACTATATGAGTAAAATATAAATTATACAAGTTTTGTTTGGCTAGTTGCATATACAAACAAATATACCAATATACCAAAAAAGATGCCAAACATAATACATAATACAGCTTGTACCTCTCAATGATGAACTCATCAATTTTGTTATGAAGGTAACATGTTTATTTCATATACCAAATGTTGAGTGACTCATATTCATACATATATTATAAGGAGTATAATAATGATATGATTTATGAAAATAATGTTATTAATGATTTTTTTACTACTATTTCACAAGAGATTTGAGTTTTGTCTCTTGATCATGAAGTTTCAAAGTCAAATTTTTATCGATACATAATAATGTGAATTGAAAAACTTTTTCCAACTTGAAGTCAAATATGGTGTCCTTTAACTTTTGTGTGTATATTTTAAATGAGAGAAATATATAAGGTAAAAAATAAGATTAATATGTCTTTGAATTTTGAAGTCACTTAATTAATTAAAAGTCTTCTTAATCAATTAGAAAGCGTTTCACTTTGTTTTAATCGATTAAAGCAAGGCTTAATCAATTAATTAGTGTATTTTACCCCCTCTAATTGATCAAACAAACTTTTTATTCGTTTAAGAACTTGTATGAATTGATTTGAAGAAGTTTTATAAAAATATATGAGAAATTTGAAAATACTTTTTGTGTAAATGCATTAACTTAGTACCTCAAGACCTATTCTTGTTTCATTTACAATTATCTGATAAAAAATAAGCCAAAATATTAAGCACATAATCATACGAGCTTTCACACTTCCACGTCTTCAAATTTATAATTTCAAGATCACAATTTCATATCTTTAAACCCTTTTGTTTGATTAAACTTTTGCTATCACTTTCAACTAAAACTTGAAACATTTGTCTAATGATACTTGATATATCTCTTTCTTTGTCTAGATCTCATTATCAGGAACCATTTAAAGAATTATCATCATCAAAATCATTTGTCGCTACTATCTCCACAACACATAGAACTACAAAATCATCTCGAAATATTCTTGGAAGATTATGATTCAAGATCAAGTAAATGATTTTAGAGAAGATGGTTGAGAAAGCTCTTCAAGAAAACAATAAGAAGGTGATAAATGATTAGCAAAGAAAAAAAAAAAGAAAAAAGGAAGAAAAAGGATCATTCATAAATTATGGTGAAGGAACATACAAGAATGGTCGTGGAGATAAAAAAAGTGACAAAATAATTTCAACAAGAAGAATGTACAACATCAAAACTTTTAGAAATTTGGACATTTTACCTTATGAGTGTCATTCAAACAAGGATTTAAAGAAAGGTGATAAGAGTGAAATGTGATTTTCCTATAAATCTGATTATGTGTTGGTGGTGGATGCTATCAAATTGGAGAGATGTGATTCTTGATGAAGTCACAATGTGGAATTGGGAACATTGTACAAATATTATCAATATTGTAGAAAATAGAAACAATTCAAAGAGTTGTATTATAAGATGACCACATATGTGAAGAAACTCCTAAGCATGAGCTAAGAAATAACAAATGTTGGTAACCAAATTGATCAAGTAATGATGGTCGAGTCAAAATCAATCAATTTGGATCAAGCTTTAAATATTCAATTTGGGCGGAAGCCTTAAAGAAATATATAAATGATGTTAAGAAGAACAGAATTGAGATTTAGCAATTTAGGCAATCAATAAAAATTCACTTGATGTGATATAAGTATATAAGGTTAAGATTATTCCAAATGGTAAAATTGCAAAATACAAATCAAGATTGGTTGTATCAGGCTTCTTACCAAAACTTGATCTACATTTCAATGTGGTTTTATACAACTTACAAGATTGAAAACTATTTGAATGGTAGCGTCCATAGAAGCACACAAATGTTGGGATATGTATTAACTTGATATAAAGTCACGATTTCTTAATGGACCATTAAAATAATAAGTTTGTGTGTGTCGACCCACTAGAATTTAAACTCAAAATTCAAGAAAGTAAGGTGCTTAGGTTAAGAAAAACCATGTATGACTTGAAGCAGACACTTAGAAATTGAAAGTCTGGACCAAAATGCTTGATTCATTCCTTAGACATCTAGGCTTTACCAAATTCACATGAAAAAATAGAGTTTATGTTAAAGCATACAAATGAGAAAAAATAGAGTTTATGTTAAAGCATACAAATGAGAACGAGTCATTAATTTTATATTTGTATGATGATGGTATTCTAGTAACATTAACAAATGAATTAAAAATGAAAATATTCAAAAGAGACAAGAATCATGAGTTTGATTTGTTTGACTTTAGAAATATATTTCTTTTGGGAACAAAATTCAGAAACTTGAGCAAAGGTATTTTCTTACACGAGAAGAAAAACGCATAAGATGTGCTAAATGAATTCACATGATTACTTGCAATGTAATTTTGACCCTTATTGAAAATGGAATTAAATTTAGAAAGAAAGAATATAAATATATAGTGAGTCCTACTTTATTAAAACATATCATTGTTGACTGGAAATTTCGATAATAAAATATAAAGGATCAAAAGTCGAAGACTATGTTATTTTTGAAAGAATTGTCTTGTGAAAGCTTCGACTATTTTTTAGTAGACGGTCGAAGATCACTGAATAAAGATTAAAGGAAGCCTTTGTTTTAAAAGGATCTCGAAGTATTTGAAATTCGAATTCGAATGATCATATTGGACTTGGCGCTCTCTGCAATAGAAGGATTTGAAATTCAAATCTTTAATCTTATCCAGAAGACACGTGGAGGTTTAATAGTACGAAGAATTTTGATGTCATGAACGTGGAATTTAGATATAGAAAGACCTTTCAGGTCGAATTAGTATGTATAGGGGTCTCAGCGATAAGATTCGTGTGTCATTCGTTTGTACAAAAATCTCACATAAACTCAAAGTATCTGCGTATTGAGAAAAGAGTCTTCTGAGAAATGTACGTGTAAACACCATCTTTCGTTTAAATTGCAAGTTATCATTGAGAATTTATTTTAATAATTTATTTTTCAATTGCTTTATTGCACTTTCTTTACAAAGTTTCGTCAGTTTACTTTAGAGAATTATTTAGATCAAAACCAACAATATCAAAAAACTATGAATACCATCGAAGTATTCTTCGTTTCAAAGAACAAAGTTTAAATAAGAACACATGTCCTAGGATCAATCTAGTTGTTCATATGAGTAACTAAGGATTTTTTGTTGTTTTTAGAAGACTAGTGCTTGTTTATTGTAACACCCCAATTCTACCCAACAATATATATAAACCAGAGTTATAAAAAATTCTACAATTGAATCAGGATGCCACAAATTCAACTTAAAACAACGATATTCATTACTGATACATAACACATTAAACTTGGATGAACCAACAACAAACATAATTCAATCTTAAAAAAGAAACATCAACTTTCATAACTACGCAGCAGAGTTATAATATTCAACTTAAAGGGATGTAACATCTTTGTCCCACTAAGGCAACTTCAAATAACAATCATTTAAAAAATAATAACTTAAAGTTCAATCAACTGAAATAATAACAACAATAAAATATCAAGTGTTCATCCCCCCCCCCCCCCCCCCCGAGTGTTATGTATCAGAGCAATGACACTGACTCGAACTACTGAAGGTAAACCGCCTTCACTCTGGATTACCTGTACGTTACCAACATCAGGGTAACATTCAAACAGAATGGGTGAGATATCGAATATTATAATAGAATTCATGATAAATAAAACATTAGGATCGGTTCATACCTATTCACCACTTCTCAGATTTTTAACAACATAAGCATAATTAGATCAACCACACAACAACTCAGGATGCAACACATAATGCAACTCATCTTTATGCAAATGCATATGGTACCAATGGAGCATAATTCCCATCTTAAAAATTCGGCCAATAAATAGAGGCATCAACAAGGCATAAGCCTTCTTCGCAGTTTGTCAATCCAGGCCGTCACAAAGTATGCAAATGTATATGACTCAATGAATGCAATATCACATACTCACAACAATCATCATTCATCGCAAAGCATAAGTCTATATCACCATTATTACCAGTAAATAAAAGTAATTCATCATCATTTAAAATTTCCTGCAACTTCGCACTATCAATAAGAATTCACAGCAACAATCACAACAACACAATAACTCAACATAAATCAACATTGGCCATAAGCCTACCACATCAATCAACGATTCAATCATTAATATAATCAGACGGTAACTTAACAATAATTCACACAACACTTATAACGACCAAAACATAGCATGTACTGGCAAAAGGGATAGGTAACTATGTGTCCCTCGATATGCATAGCAACTAGGACAGCATAACAACTAATTCATACTCCTCGACACGCATAGAGAAAACAGAATAACAACTAACTTATGCTCCTCGGCACGTCCTGCAACCTAATACTGCTCGACAATCTAACACATAACTCCTGACACACCTCGCAGCCTAAATGTCGCCCGGTACCTAACACCATCAGCATCCTCGTT